AATCACATCGAAATATTTGATAATACCCAAATTTTGAGTTATCACAAGTGCTCAAAAACACTAAAAATAGTAAAAAAGTCATAGTGACATTTAAAAGAAAAAATTAACAATAATGAGTATAATCATAAATAACAGAGATAAATATCATAAACCTCCTTTAGTGGTAATGGGAGAGGGTCCCCATATACTAGAATGATTAAGATCAAATTGGGCAACAAAAATTGAGATATTTTTGTTAAAAGGTACAGTAGAATATTTTGCCAATTATAACCACTGCGATAAAAATTATCATGAGTTTTCAAATATTCTAACACTCCCATAGAAACTAAGAACTATGAATGTGATGCTAAATATGACCAAGGACGACTGAAACGAAACGACAAGTCAACACTAAAAGCTACAATTTTTGGTACTCTAAGCCAATTCAAAGCAGAGTGTTCCCCTTGCCTATAGCCCGTCCCAATAATCTTTAGGGATTACAAGTCCTACACATAACAAGTGGAAGAAGAAAAAGAGGCTAAATATCTAGATTTATATAACCGGCTAATAGAAACAAGATCTAAAGTAAGATTAGAAATATTGTAGACATCATGGAGATACTAATAATGTGTATTATTACGCCTTGCAATTGAGGCTTAGATGATTATGTGGAGCACAATGATTCCACTTCATCAAATGAAGGACAATTGAAGCCCAAAGAAAAACAGTACTTTGACCAAAGCACTCTATAATGATCCGAAGTCGTTCAATAAGGTGAAGCCCATTTGATCGAAGCTCAATCAATCGAAACGGAAGCACCCCGGCCACTCTATAATGTTCCGAAGCTATTCAATGAGGTGAAGATTTGACTAAAGCTCAATTGGCCAAAGCAAAAGTACTCCAGCCACTAAGAGCTTTGCGCCAGAAACATTTCCCAAGAAGATCCTGTGGAGATCTGGTGAAATCAATTGATGTGACAACTTGCTGCCAAGAAAGGTCTAAGCCTATCAACAAAGTGTGTAGACATAAAACATGGGGTGGCTCCCCTTTTCAAGGTGCATCAAATGTAACATAGACTAAGTGGGTAATAGGATGTCTAGATAGTTCGGATGAAGCTGTGTATTCTCCATCTAGCTGTTATAGCTTCACTTATAGCACTATAAATACTCATATCATGTATCATTTAAAGAATGATGTAAGTTTGAATACTCAAAGATATATTACAGTCTCTCTCTAGTCTCATATATTCGTACTGTTTTGTAAATCTTGTTGTATTAACTCCAAGTCCTTGATCACTTAAGTGGCTTAAGTCTCAAGAGCAATTCCCTCCACTTAGGATTGTTGGCTGCATTTTTTTCCTACACATGGTTCGATTTCTGCTTATGTGGATGCGAGTGGAGTCCTTGCATCTGTTGGTACATTTTTAGGGATCAACGTGTATCAATGAAAACAATACATGCTATAGGCATACAATTATCGTCAGCTGTAATAATTGACAGAAAAGACTTTGAAGATAATGAAATAAAAGATGACAAATTAGGTGACATATGATGAATAGCACCAAAATCTAAGACTCACAAAGAGGATATTATACCTGAAGAACTAGAGGATTACAAACCTATATGAGAGGTAGACATTGCATTGCATGTAACTATGTTGTAAGGAACTTTTGAAATTGCTCAAACATAGATTTATTAATGGTGCAACCATTACAATATTAAGTTGAGGTGGTTGGTTAATTGGTTTCCTGGTGGGGCCGCCACTACTGTTTGGCTCTACTTAATAATTGAGGACATTGTCCGTTCCAATGAATCCTTTGCTTACAAAAATGACATTCATCATGAGAAACATTCGGAGACAGTCTACTTTGATTATTGGAATGCGATTTCTAAGGTGTTGTGAAGACTAATGGAGTGAATAATGGAGCAATTATTCCCTTGTTTAAATGATATTTGAGGAGAATCTCCTCAACCAGCAGGTAATTGACCACTTAATCAATAGAAGAGGACTGCGATGCAAGAAAGTCCCACAAAGTCCCTCAAAATTATCACTTAGGACCATTAAAATTGTACCGATCATTGTTCTTCTTGTCGGGCAATATAAAGAGCAAATGCCTATAAATATGTGGATCTTGTGAGTACCAATTGATCCCATAGGTTTGTCATAGGAGGGTAAAACTCTTAAACACTCATAATCTTCTATTGAAGGGTGGGTATGTATGAATATCAATCTTTAACTGATACCATTTTACAAAATTAGACCACGTGTACAATCTTACCAAATGCTGAAAATAGCATTATTATGCTAGCCAAATGTAAGCATATCAACTACACAGCAGAATTACTAAGCCGGGTAATAATATTCGAATTATATGTTAAATCAATAAACAAAATATAAAGGGAGAAATAATAGGCTAAGATTTCTTGATTAATTGCATAATGAAAATACAAGAAAAATAAGTTTTACATAGTTTTGTTAGCAGTGGTAAAAGACTAATCCATCAAACAACTAATTATATATTTAACAATTGCCCCTTAATCATTTTTTAACCTTTTCTTCTCGATCTTTTTGGGTTTATATGAAACGAAGGCACATGTGCTTTCTTACCAACAAATTCCATCAAAAAGCACTTATAGATTCTAAACGTATAGCTACCAATGCCTGTTTCGGACACGACCGTTCTATATATATATATTGTCTGTAATATTCAATTCTACTTACCAGCGCCAAATTGATTCGAGAGCAAAAGGGTAATTCTCCATTCATTTAAGTTCATATGAATATTAGACAGTATTGCCATTGGTAATGAGGAACTTCACAAATTGGACACAAAGGTTGTTGACATGATTTTCGGACAGATAATACCTACTTTTTTTAACATTAAGGACCCCACAAATTGTGGAATTAGATCCCATCCTAGAGCTAAATCAATCACTTTTGAGGCAATGCTTTCCCATCAAATTAAGAGTAATTGGCCTAATTATTTAAAATGTCAAAGAAACAGCAAATATCTTCAAAGGCAGTTGATAGATCATTTCGAATGATTTTTTTCCCTTCAATGTTCCATGTTTGTCCATTTTTAACGTGAGGAAAAGGGTAGATAAATCATCCAAAAATCGGTATAACTAATTTTTGAGATGAATGGTTGTGCTTAACGCAAGGGCGGTGGCATATTTAATGCTTGTTTAGGATAGAATTATTCCAAGTGAAAAATAATATATATATATATATATATATATATTTTTTTTTTTTTTTTTTTTTTTTTTTTTTTTGAATTTTTTTTATAAAAATCAATTCAGGCAAGGTGATCACAAATTTACAAGGAGGTATGCAGTGATAGATTTCCTGGCGAATGAGGATCACGTGGAAGAGCGTCTGCACATAATTAGTTCGAATGAAGTCCATGGCAAAGTTGCGAATCTTAGATTTGATCGCTTATAAGTTATGTATATCAAATACAAGAAGTAGTGATGAACCAGTGTCTCTGAGTGATTTGCCTCTTAAAAGTTTTATAGCTTTAGTACTTGTTAGTGTGTTTGTAGTAAGATATGAGGTTTGGTGCACATCCTCCTCTATATAATCCTTTATGTTATCAGTTACGCCCCCCAATAATCCACCTCGGCGCGTCTAGCCTACTCCCTAACAAGGTGCTACGTGACTCGCCGAAGTGGTTCCGAAGCGATCTGACGGCATTCCGAAGTAATACTAGCCTCGTCTGAACCTCAACACTAACATGCTATGAGGCACAAGCATCTCCTTAAGTAATTGCCGAGGAGTCTCCTCTTATCGAAGTGTGAATGATATTGAGGCACTCTGCCACAGAGGCCTCTCTGCCACCAGTTTCAGAGGTGTACATGTGTGTTAAGATCCTCTTTTATCTTCATGGATTGATTGATATGACATCTCAGCTTTATGTCGACTCACAACTTAGATGAATTAATTACCCGCCACCTCTAGATGCGACTGATTAACGTTTACGAGCAAACGTCTCATACCGTCATATGCATACACGTGTCCCACATCCAACGGTACCCCTCACCTATAAATATCAAAGATTTGGCAAGAGACAAAGGTAATACAACTCTCTCCAAATATACTTAGCACTTCACACAAAAGTATAACATATATTCTCTTCCCAATATCTTGCACAATTTCGACACCATTCTCATTACCATTCCACTGACTTGACCGTCGGAGCGCATGCCGCTGCCACCACCCCCATTGGTTCAGACATTGTGTGTTTGATCATTTGCTATTGTGCACAGGGAAAACACGTAGAGTGACTCTCAATTGGCCACGTGGAAGGTTCAAATCGCGGGGTCAACATTATCTATAGACATGATACTAGCTTGTAGTTTAGATGGTGACCTAAAGTTTCCATCTAAAGCTCAATAGTGTTTTAGTTAAAAAAAGAAAAAGAAAAAGAAAAAATCCTTAATAACTCAATATTTATAGTTATTATAAGTCTTGTGTGATAATAATAGTTTTTAGTCTGAATTTATATGGTCTTGTTACATTTGACTTATAAAGGCATGGATAGATCCTATCTTTTATATCTACCAAAAACCTAATCTCTCGAGTTAAAGTTTTATCAAAATTGAAATTCTGATCTCCAGATTTATGATTTCGTCTTTTTAGATAATTTATTCGTAACACATACCTAACTTACCCTTAAAAAAAAATTTTCTCGCAAAGAATGAAAATTAATGCCACTTTCACGTGGTGTTTTCATAGTGGAGATTGATTAAACACGAATCAGGAAATTATTGAATAGAATAACCACTAAAATAGTACAATTGGGTTGCTAACTTAATGATTAAATAATATACAATTACCACTGACCAGCATTCTTTTACTTTTCAAGTGGAAAACCTGTTTGATTTTGATAAAAATAATTTTTTTTTTTGTAGATAATTGAATGGTCTATGTGGAATTCAAGAAATGAGGGGTTGACTATTAGTCTGTAAAAAAAGATAATAATAAATAAATAAAAGGGAATTCTATGAAATAGGACCAACCAAGGGCGAAAACTTGCCAACATAAATATACCAGCTAGGGTTAATTAGGTTAGGTTCTATTCTCATCAAAATCATGAAAAAACTCCTTTGAGTCTGTCTTTCCATTTATAGAAATTTTCTTCTTTGAAAACAAGAATTTAGGGTTACAGTATTGAAGAATATGAAGAAGACACAGATAGTGATCAGAAAAGATGGATCAAAAAGAGGTTCTTCGAGGGCTGTAAGGTATGCGGAATGTCAGAAAAACCATGCAGCCAACATCGGCGGCTATGCCGTGGACGGCTGCCGGGAATTCATGGCCAGCGGAGGAGAAGGAACAGGCGGCGCGCTTACGTGTGCGGCCTGCAGCTGCCACAGGAATTTTCATCGAAGAGAAGTGGAATCTGAGGTGGTTTGTGAAAATTCATAAAATTCGATAAGTAATTGTTTGCTCTTTGTCTATCTGTTCGTGTTTGAAATTAATGTTATGTTCCGTACATGAGGGAGTAATTTAATTACAAAACGTTGATCTAATTTGATATAAGTTCAACTCATCAAGAAATGATTGTGGATCAGAACTGTGGATTTAAATTCAAGATCCACATATATTTAAACCGAGCGTATCAAGAATTTTTTTATATCTAAGGGTTTCATCTCGATGTATTTTTCGCCTATTTCATCGGCACATAACCCTATAAATTGGATAATTTTTTTCTTCAGATTCTTCAAAGGAAACGTATCAGATTGCAAAATATGCACATGTAAGTTATAGCAAGAATTCTCATCTTCCACAGTTCTTATTCCTCTCTTTCTATCGGATCAGTATATGTATTGATTGTGCCTATCTGTGTACGCATTTTTCTCATAAAGAAATTTAGACCCTTTGGGTAAAGTAGCCAAACCCAATATATTCACAAATCTGTAATACTTTCCATGGTTTTGTATACAGGTGTAGTTGTCCTTTTATCAAGCTGTAGCACTCAAATCCAGTTAAGCTAAACAATATAATAGGCTATGAATCTTCTAGCTTTTGGCATTCTTAAGGAACCAAAAGACAGGATATGCTAGTAATCCAACTCTTCAACTCATTTTTCTATTCATCCATTAACTTAGTTGGTCAGAAAACAATTGCAAGACTACATTTTTTATTTGAATCCATCCATCATCTCAAGTTAAAGGAAACATCCGTTTCATGTCAACTGGCTTAGGCCCACATATCTACTCATGTTTCCTTGCCATTATATTGAGACAAAATGAGAATTGTAGAATAATGGATCACATTATGCATTTAGAGATTCAAAGAAAATTATGTATTCTTAATTAACTTATCCTAAACTATAACAGAAGGTAAAGTGATTTTGCACCAAAGTTACCTAAACTATAGGAGAAGATAAAGGGAATTAAGATAGAACAATCGTAATTTTAATTAAGATAGTATTACAATCATAATTTGTTGTTGAGGTATATTTGAAGAAGCTTGAATCAAGGAGTTTGATTTGGTTGACTAGATATTTTGAGATTGTGAGGATTGTTTTCTTACCTGCATTGCAACACAGTGTTTCCATTGGTAGCAATATTTTAAGACCAAGCAAAGTTCATAAGGAAATGAATTATTCCCTATGTATGGGGAATAATCTCACAGAAATTCCACATGGCCCTCACATGGGGTGCCCCATGTGAATATTTTATTTTGGTGGACCCCGCTGTTGTGTGTATTCTGTAAAATATCGGTATACATTTTTCCTGTACGTGTAGAATGGTCCTAAGGAAATCAACAATTTGGTTTTTTGTTAGATATGTGAGAAAAATAAAGTTGTCAAGCTACTACTCCGTGATGAATGAAATGAAAATCAATTGCAAGTTGTTGCTTTGGAGAGTATAACACTGGGTTTGGATCAGCAAATGTATGTTTTGGGGTCGGTATTGTTATAGCTGATAAAAATTCATAATGCTCATCTAGAAGCTTAAAAAAGTCATGAGCTTCACATGAGAAAATCTATTGGTTGAAATTCGATTATCTAGATTATGAGTCCAATTGATGTATGAGAAGGCATGTAAATGTCCTCGAGGAACAAACCATTATTGATAGTATGCTTGAGTTAACATACCACATGTTCAATGTTGTGATTTCAAGAATGTTGGTTTATGAATCGTGACTACGAAGGATATGTAAAAGGTGAAGACATGTCAAAGAATATTGGTCGAGGATGACCAACAAAAATGTGATTTTTTTTATTTTTATTTTTTTTAATTTTTAGAATTGGATCTAGGTTGTGGCCCCTCAAAGACCTCGTTTTATTCCTATACTTGAAGCGAAGGTGATTCTATGCAAGATCCTTGATATCAAAAGTTGGAATCAAGAGATGTAGCTACTTATGTGATTGAAGTCCTCACCACAGCACAAAGAACAATGTCATTGAAACTACCATATTTGGAACACAAAGAGATTAATTAGCTCAAATAGGTGATGACATTGTAAGAGCCACTAGATGGGTATTGGGTAGTGTAAACGTTGACGGAAGTTGCATGACAAATGAGGAAATAACTTCAGTAATATTAGACACTATAGCAATGTTATTCACAAAGTAGATAAGTAACATGTTTGGCTTATTTTTTTATAAGATTCATTAGATTAATTAGTTGCTTGGATATGGGTATAGATTTTTTATTTTGTAAGAGGGAGATGTAACGATGTTTATTAGTTTGTGGTGGCTTGGAATGAAAATTGAGAAATAGCGAAAGGTTCAAGTTTGTAATTGATAAATAAATGACGAGCCTCCTCAAAGGAAACGAGTTCCTTTGGAACGGATAGCATAAAAATCCACGTTTTATCATTTCAAGAGCCCAATTAATTAATGCATACACAACTTGATCTTCTAAATCAAGAACGACATTAAAAAGAGCAAGTTTATCGTATAAATTTTTAAGAGTATATAAGAATATGACACATGTTCATCCGCAGGGATTGTTGAACCAAGTTTTCCTTTCATATGAAAAATTTGCACTCGAATTTATTGCCATAGCGTTTGATTAATTTAGACCAAGCTTCATTAGAATTAGTACGTGGGATACATGACACTGTCAACTTTAAATTTACTAATGTAAAAAGTATTGTCTAAGTTCACCAACGATTACCCCAATCACATCGTTATGTTATCGGTTGTGCTATATGTACATAATGATTTATATACACATGTTGTAGTAAAATATGATTGATTTAGAATTTCTTCAATCAAATAAAAAAGTAAAAACTCCTTCACTCACTTTTTTGACATCTCATCTATACGTAAAACATTATGTAACTCCTTATATAAAAATAGATTGTTGGGAAACAAAGATGATACCGGATTAATCCAATACCAATTTGCCAGAGAAAATAAGATATTATAGTCAAAATATGAAATAATTGATCATAAGAACACAAGAACAAAAGAATTTACAAAGAATGGAGATTTTATTATGATATGAAGAAAGAATACAAATATTTTTGTGTTTGCAATGTTTCTAACATCTTCTAAGTCATAATAAAGATCCAACTATATATAGGAAATAAATGAAACATCCAACCCTAATATTAGAGTTGTAGTTGAAGTAGAATGCAAGAAACGGAGTTCGAAACGAAGTAGAAGAGGAAAAATCGCGCAAGAGGCAAATAAACAAGAGGAGCCTAGCGAGGCGCCATAGCACCATAGGCCCAACTACAATGTCGTGGCGCCCACTTTCAAGTACTTTACTCCAAAATCTTGATTTTCTTCGTCTCAATGTCATCTTTAAGTCCGACACAAATTTCAAATCCAAATTGAGCTTTCAAGTAAAATTTCAACTAGAATTTGCCAAGTAAACTTAATAGGATTTAACAATAGCATTCCAAATAGAATTTTTCTTAAAGTGCATTTTGATTAAAACCCTCAATTATCTTCAACAAAGAATTTGGGTTGCACCTAAATTCTAACAAGTTTCAGCTTGACACAAATTTTATCTCAATGAACAAAATTTCAAAGAGTTCTCCACTTTGAGACAAGTTCTACTGCAAGGAATAAATTTGAACTCTTCAATGAAAAAAAAAAAAATAGGACATGAATTTCTCTATCAAGATTTTCAACTGAAATATTCTCCACCTCTACTAACCCAACTAAGGGCAAAAGTGATCTAATAGCCACCAAAAAAGGGATGAAACAAGCCTTATAGTATAATCACAATTGAATGCATCAAAAGAATGATATTGGCTAAAATTAACACCCTTAATTGCACTCAAAACATCAACTAAATCAACAAAATTGTACCTATGAGAAGTTTTATGAACAAAAACGAATTTATTACTAGCAACTGAACACCATGACACTGCCGATGCTGGTGGTAAGACGGATTTACCCTTAACTTTTAAATTAAACAAAGATGTATTCTTTAAAGAAAATCCCAAATTAGACTCCAATGTGCAGAATCCAACTCAAAATCCACCCGAGTTCTTAAAATATGCTAATTGCTCAAAGATTCTATATAACACTTCAAGATATATACATGAAATTTTATATGACCCTTTATCAAAACATGGGCTCCTTTACTAACCTTTAGAACTCCACTTTCAATAGTATACTATACCCTTTTGAATCAAGGGTATTTAAGAAGATAAGATTTCTCTTCAAATCTGGAATGTATCTTTCTGCATCAAGTATTCGAACCGTCCAATCAAACATCTTTATTTTGACCCAACCAATACCAACTATCTGACAAGGTAAATTATTATTGATCATCACAACACCTTTTGAAACTTCTTCATATGTTGAAAACAATTTTCAATTGGGAGAAATATGAAAAGTGAAAGTCGTATCAAGAATCCAAACCTCATCAGGATTAGAGTTGTAATCAAACATAAGTAAAAGCTCTTCGTCACTATTAGGATTTTCTGCAATACTTGCTTTCGATGTAGTTTCTGATTGTTGATTTAGAGTCAATTTTTGATTTATTCTACGATTTGTAACAATCGTTTATCAAGTACCTTTTTCTTGCAATAATTACAAAATTTAAAGTTAGATTTTAATTTGCCACTTGCACAATCACCATTAACAATGAGGCCAGCTCCATGACCCTTAGGGGCTACAAAATGCTTCATTTTCTCATTTGAATATAGAGCATCATAGACTTCCTCGATGATGAGAGTGTCATGACTATACAAAATCATATCTCTAAAGACATGTACAAAGCAGATAATGAACAAAATAAAATCAATCCCAAATAATTTTCATCATAGTTGACTTCTAAGGTTTCAAAATCAGCAACGATTTCCTTAAAAGTAACATGGTGATTCTCAAGAGAAGTATCTTCTGTCATACGATAAGAATATAGATGCTGCTTCAAATACAATTTACTAGTAAAACTTTTTGTCATGCATAGTTGCTCCAATTTTAACCATAATGCAGCAGATGACTTCTCTTTTAAAACTCCTGAAGAATATTATTTGAAAGATGAAGATGTATTTGAGATAGGGCTTTCCAATCTCTCCGTTGTTTTTTCTCCAGAGTCCAAGTTGTAAGCATCTTGTCAAATTCCAAAAACGCATCGACCAAATCCATCTGAGCAATACAGCTCGCATCTTTACCTACCACAAAGAGAATCTTGTATTATGATCCAATAATGAAATATCATACTTCATAATTGTCATCACAAAAAATCTCGATCTTCCCAAGAATTTCAAAATCAAAAGCTCTGATATCAATTTATT